TTCCGTTCAGAAGCCATAGAACACATCGCCTACTGCCTGTTAGTCATGCGGTGAGTGGCGTTTCGCCCGATTCTAACCATCCAAGAAGCATATTTACCAAAAGTGCCACAAACAGGGCCACAAGGAAGAACTCTGCAAGCAGTCTCGACCAGGGAACACAAAATTGTTCCGTTCAAAGGCCAAAAATACCGTTGCGGGAACCCTGTCAGTCGTTACCGCTTTCCAGAGTGACCTCAAACCCTGCAGGCGTTATATTACCGTACTTATCAACGGGATTCCTTCCAGGTTGCAGTTTGACACGGCCTCTGATATAACTATCATTTCCAAGAGCACATGGAACCACATCAAGAGGCCGACGGTTGCTGCTTCTGACAAAGTGGCTCACAACGCATCTGGCGGAGTGCTGAATCTGGTTGGAGAAATCACCTGCAAAATCGCATTTAACGGGGTAGAAAAGACTGGAATATGCCACCTGACGGACCGACCGAATCTAAACCTCCTCGGAATCGACTGGATCGAGAGGTTAGGACACTTTGAGGTATCTTTGAACCAGATTTGCAACCGTTATACGTCGGAGCCTCAAGCACCGGAGTAGCCCTAACAGAAGCGAAGACCAAACAACGCAAGCCATCCCATACAGTTCGACCAGCTCCCAAGTCCTCATACGACGGAAGGAACCGGAAATTGGAGCAGGAATTCAATCAGCGGCGTGGAACAAGGCAACGTTCATTCAAGGCCGGTGATTTAGTGCTCGCACATGACTATCGGAAAGGCCATGCAGCATGGACTCCAGGTGTGATCAAACGCAAACATGGAGGCGTCATTTATGATGTGCTCATCGGATCGCAAACCTGGGTCCGCCATGCAAACCAGTTACGCCAAACGCTGTGCCGGCCAGAATCGAGGAAGCCAGCCAGGCTACTTTTCGACCTCCTTGTGGAGCACTTCAATTAACCGAAACTAGTCAGGGAGGGTCATAGATAATCCGATAGTCCAGAGTCAATTCCAAAGGCATTCCAACCTAGGAGATGGACGAACAGACGGAGAACGCCGTCTACAATGAACCCGAAGCTACACTGCAGCCGCGATCTCAGGAAGGGAGATGTCAGGGAGTGTAAAATTCTCCAGGAAAAATCATTAATTCAATGGGAAAACGATTCGAACCAATGATGTACAAAAGAAACATCAAGACCTTTCTGCAGTGTTCACATCAGGAACATTCAGGTCTACTCGACGCACCTACCTACCTCCCCATTGGATAGCGGAACTGAACTAATAACCAGGGCAGCTGACCTAGCTGTTCTGTCTTGGCCAATAAAAATTCACTAATATCGACACTAATTGCATCCGTTCGGTAGCTTTTTATACAACACGCTTTTGCATCCAAGCTTTGCCTTCTGATGATGATGATGATTCTGAGTTTTGGCTGTGGTTCGAACCGAATTCAGTTCAACCGGAATCGCGTAGACAGAGATAGATGGTAACAAGTTCATTTGTATTCTTTAATGTTTAGCACCTCGCGTTTTTCAAATTTCTTAACTTTTATATTGTCGCACAAAACGTGAATTGTGTTGCTCACCTCCAGCCTTCGTGTAATGATAACGATGATAACCCCCTAAGCCGACTCTTGGTGGAGACAACTAGATGCCGTTGAGAAGTTCAAGTACTTGGGCAGCTACATCAGTGCCCATGCGGTGGAAAATGAATTGACAAAATACATAGCGAAAGTTTGAGGAGTTTTTGCCAATCTTCACCACTTGTGGCACCGATACTTCATCACACTCGCCGTGATGGACCGAGTCTCTCTGTTCATTCCTACTGTGATTGTGAAACTTTATCCACCAGATTGACATAAGTAAAGAGGCAAATTGTAATCGACCACCCGTTCCTTTACAGTTTAGCTGGTGGGGACAGCATTGCACAACAAGCGTGTTCAGTGTCTTGCTTATGGCGCAAGAAGTGGAAATGAACCTCTCATCACCATTGTTTCACGCACTGGTATCCCATCACTGGGTCTCATGCCAGCACACTGACTCTCGCGACTAGCGTTTTGCTCGAGCGCGGCCTGGTTAAAATACTGGGAGCGAGGTCGACTGATGACTTGACAAATAGTTATGAAGTTTCTCTCTTGGCCTCGATTGGTGCCTCCCCACTCGCGGTTTTAGTTTTGAGAGACGGTGAACACGTCTGGTTGCGTACACTTTACATGCCGGGGGACCGACCTCAGTGGCGTTTGCGTTATGAATTTCCTTACCTCCACAACAATGATCTCACAAACGATGCATAATAACAAATACTATATTTTGCATCTATTTCTTTTTCATTCAGGATAATGCAATTGAGGCACAATACCTGAAGTATTTCTCACCTCCATTTAGCGTGTATGAATACTGGTTGGAAGCAACAAGTAAAGATATCTGTGTAGCTGCATCTATCATCACTCAGGTACAAAGACCAATTATGTTGGAGTGCGCTCTATATCGTGTGTCCAGGAATTCTCTAAATTCCGACACCGAATTTGCTTCAACTACGTGCGGCGGTAGGTTGGTCCATACCTTCACCACTTTCCGTTCGAAACAGAGCGACCCGCTTCAAATCCGATACTACAAGCTTGTACCGGTTTCCTTGTGTTCTGCTTGGTGTGCGCAACTGCATCATCGGCCTCAACTTGGGTTAATCACCGAGATGTAGTATCCGATGTGTCATGATGATGCGAACATGTATATGACATTCTGATCCAGGAGTCTCTGACAACAAGCGACCACTCACTGCCAACATGAAGTTATCCCCGCTGGAGCCATCTTAAAACTGCTGGAAAATGCAGTTCAATTGTCTAACTCCAACTGAATGGATTGGTATCTGGTGCAGGTTAAAACTTGGTCTATATTGAGTTTGCGCGTCGCAATGCGTTAGTAAAACCCTTGATACCAAGTGTCCGCTCCACTATGCTTGCTCGCAACCGACTCGCCCACACTTTCAATGGAGTTTTCTCTTCGCCAAGCCCAATGAGCACAACGCTTAACTGAGCTGTATGGTTTCGCCAAGTGGCACACTCTTCCGCGGGTCCGGCAAACTTTCTTTTTATGTCGACAGTCGGAATACCAAATGTGCTCTTCAATACCGCAGTAACACATGAACGAATTGACGCCAGCGTATGTCCTCTTTGGTTCTGACGTATTGTCCACCAACCACAATTCTCTAGTCTGGTCTTACATAATTGTTTGGTAAGATTCATTGTCTGCTGGGCACTCGAACAGTTTATCTCCCATGTTAGCGAACAATCATCTTGTGAAAGGAGTAGCTCCCGAATGCTTTGTTCTGAGATACAAGCAATCAGGCACTGGAGTAACATAGTTTCTCCAGAACTCGGCGGGTCGATTTACAATCGGACACAGCCTGGGGTACACGAGCGATGAACCCGCTCACAGCTTCTTCCGCGTTCTTAGAGTTCAGAAGACTATATCTAGCCGTAAAAACATTTTGACGGGCACCCAGAGCGCAATGGAAGAGAAGACATTGTCAATACGCAGGGTGCCAAAACATTCTTGACCTTCGTCACCAAAATGCTGTCGTAGATGCCTCAGGAACAGTACAGAATTGGAAGAAACTCCTTGTAATCAATAAAGGTTTCTAGTCATCGACTCCACGATCCGAAGAGGATTCACTGATAGGAGGGGGCCAGAAGATCTGTAGCGTGTTCACCACAGGCACTTAATCCCCGTCGCTAAACAGTATGTACACTGGAACGTAGCTCAACAAATGAAGATGAACATGTGCACACAAGACACGGTATAGTCATCGCTTGAAGAGACATGTGACGCAGAAAGAAAGGTAGATGTGTGTTAACGCGTGCATCTATATGTCCATTAAGCGTATGGGTGTTAAGGACCGCGCGAACAGGTGATAGGTATCCTGGCTCTCTCGGGCTGAGATTTGGGCGTACCATAGTGATTCTCATCTAAGTGGGACTCAGCAGACCCTGTTAAATAGTGGTAACGGATATATGGGCGCCTTTGAGGTGCTTGGATCGTGGAAGAGGCTAACCACGTTGCATTAGTTCCTAGAGTCTGCAGACATCTTGGGAGTTTGGCGTAAATCCTAGGTGTCTACCAAAATAAATTCAACACTGTGTCAGCTTTCTTTAGGGTGGTTTAATCTTCCATCATAGCCCATCATTAGTTTAGCTAACGAAGTCTCTGTGGAAGGCTGTACTGTATTGTTTGGTACTACTGTGCTGGAAAGAGTCGCTGTGCACCCAGTTTCGACAGGAAACAGAATACGCAGTGTATCGATCATGTGCACAGAACTAAGTAGTGCGCGAGGCAGAACGCGACCATCGTTTAAGGACTAAATCACAGGAATATCGGTTAGGATGTGCCCCAGTAACAAACTATCATTAGGCCGTAGAAGCAGCAGTTCGTCGAAATTCTGGAACCCTTCACAAAACGAAGGAACTTGCTCCTAATAAGATAAGTCACCAGCCCTGTTACAACGGTAACCGGCGGGGCATTTAAGTCGACCGTTATCTTCTCATTGGAACATCTTTTTACCTTGTCGCGGATTTAAGTCACTAGATTTTATTAACATTTTCTTCGGTTTCAAGCTTACTAGCGCTATACTGCGTTGGTTATTTCTGGAACAATGAGACGCTGCGCGTGCCACACGTAAATTTATCAAAAGGCGTTTTCATAAATTGTAGAATCATCGCCCTTCTTAATAAAAAATACGGGTGGCACTAGTGCACCCCATTTTTAACGCTTTTATTTGAGACCATCCACTGTGGTTATTGTAAAAAGCTGAGAATGCACCCAATTGAGTACATAAAGCCCATGTTGACTTGACTCGAACACATTGAAGCGCTCGCAAAAAGCACCAATACTCTGTTGCTCGAATCACAGTTGACAAACTGATTTCTGGTGCCCTGTAGTAAAAAGCGATTGCACTTACACAGTGAACCGACCCGTAACTACAATCGTTGCTGCTGAACAAGAAGACGGAAATTTTACAAAATGTCTTTGGTGATCCTGCTCTTGAGGGCAGAATGGGTACATTGCGCAAAAGCCATATAAAGTTAGACAAAATATGTAAAGCAAACAGATAAAAATTACTATTTCTAGGAGAATTGTTTCACAGAATTCCTAATACTTTTCTACTTCAGACAACGTGAAGCAGAACTTCTGACAGGTCAAAAATAAAGAGGAAAGCTGTGCCATGATATAAATATAAAAAGTTAGGTTGTCATTTGTACTTTTTCATCAATCGCAAGTACAGGTACGAGTTACCAACGGTAAGGATGAAGATGACAAATATGCCTAGTTCGTTCTGCCAAACTGCCCACTCGGAAGTGTACTCGATGGCCTGGGTCTTCAGATACCATTCTCCAGAAATGCTGAAATGAAATCGGTAGTTGAGATGGAAATTATCGCATTGAACGTCGCAATGGTTCACATGCGTGTTTGAATATGAAAACCCGCTGCGTGAACAGGGGTGGAGGTGAAAGAAAGAGACTTAGGGATTGAAACAACGGTGAAAGGTCCTAATGGTGATGACTTATCTGCGCTGGCAACACAGGCGTCCAAGGTGAACAAATTGGGGTGTTTGGTGTCGAAGAGCCCATACAGAGCGTGCTCCACATAGGAAGCCGTAAAATGCGAAGATGCCGCAATGTAAAGGTAGCCATATACCGTACCCGGCGGTAGTAGTGGTGTTGGGGCTCGAATTAAACCCTTACTTTCCCCATCGCGATAATAGGTGTCGTTACCCACCGGAGCACATCTACAATCAGCAGGTGCTTTCCCCCACCACCCAATGGAAGCCAATCGCCAACAGCTCCTTATGAGGCCATACTGTCCCCTTTCCCTGGCGGCGTTCAACATTCGCACTCCAAGACAAACAGGTCAACAAGCTGCACTCGCACGCCCACTGGACACGCTGGGTATTGGCGTATGTTGTGTCCGAAAGTATCATCATCAACAGCAGTAAGTAAGCCATTTGAACTGACGCTTCGCTACCATACAACATAGCAACTTACGGAATAAAGAATAGTAAGATGGAGAAAAGGGAGACTTACCGGAAAACCTTAGTGCTCTAAGCAAACATCCAGGGTCAAGGCGCCTAACCCTTGTTCCAACAACATACCAACACAAATAGCTAGCTGTGGTCCCCCGAAAACCAGGGGTCAGCGAGGAAACAGGAACAGCGTGGGTGCTCTGATTCACAATAAAGAGCGCCGTGTGGCTCGTTGGGCCGGGCACTTTCAAGATCAGTTCAGTTGTCTCCCTGCTCCTGGACCTCGTTCTACTCAGGTGGTGCAGGCTGAGCCATGCCCAGTCAGTTCAGGGGCTGAGGTCCGAAACGCGATCACTGCCCTCAATCGTTTTCGAGCTGCTGACCCGGATTCCCTCGCACCCGAACTGTTTGAGGATGTTAGTGAAGTCCTCTGAAAAGCACTGACATCCCTGTTCGAACAGGTCTGGAAGGAGGAGACTGTCCCGGCTAACTGAAGCGAATCGATTTTAGTGATAATATATATAAAGGACAGTCGCACCGACTGTGCTAACCACAGTGGTATTAGCCTGACGCCATTTGTGACAAAATTACCGGCCTCAGTTCAGGTTCGTCGCATCACTGCGGAACGGGTATCCCGGATTAGGGAAGAGTAGGTAGGCTTCCGCCCAGGTAATATACTCACTCTGCGGCAGGTGTTAGAGCAGCATCACTTGTACTGCAGACCGACGATGGCTGTGTTCGATGCATTCCGTGCGAAATACTTGTGCGGAAAGGTGTTCCCATAAAATATCTGAACATTTTACGTGCTCTGTACTCCAACACTACAGGCCGCGTCAGAGTCTACGGTGACCTGTCAGATAGCTTTTCAATAAAAGTGGCGTTCGTCAGGGTTGTCCGATTCCTCCATTTTTGTTCAATTTTGTCGTGGACTCATGAAGTGCTTTCTTACGGGATTTCACGATGTAGGCGTTAAGGTTCTGCTTGGTGAAAGTTGTTCTTGATTACGCGGACGATATCGTCTTGCTTTTTGACGATGTTGTGGCACCATAATCAACCCTTAATAACCTGTCTAGTCGTCCCATTATTTGATGTGCACCTTCAAAGTTTTGCTGCGAGACCATCAGCCATTTGATACACTCTTGACCCTCGATAACGAAGAACTCTAGGTAGTTGATCACTTCACCTACCTTAGCAGCTGCATCGGCAACGATGGGCGCACTACCTTTTTGAATCTGCGACATTTGTGGCGTCAGAAGGGGGTTTCCCTCGACCTGGAAGGCTGTGTGTACAAAGCCACAATGAGCGCTGTCCTACACTATGAGAGTGAGACTTGGCCCCTTCGATCTGAGGATCTCAAGCGCCTTCAAGTCTTTAATCATCGTTGTCTGCGAAGGTTTGCTGGCGTCGGACGGGACCAGCGTGTTCGCAAGGATGATGTGCGTAGGCGAGTGCTAGGCACTGGTTGTCATATTAGTGCCGAGAACGTCAGATAACACTGAGTAAGTTGCGTTGACTTGAGCGCATAATACGTATGTCTGGTCACCGTTTACAGAGGATAGCGTTCTTTTGTTTGCTAGATGTCGGGTGGCGCAAAGCTCGAAGTGGGCAAAAATTAACTTGCCAGCGAGAAATGAAGTCAAAGACAAATAAACTCAGTGCCGTCGGTCCGTCTCGCCTTCCAGGCTGGAGTCCAAGTGACTCGCTTTATGCTTGGCTCGAGACTAAGGATATGGCTCGCAGTCGACACCAGTGGCCTGTATGCTGTCGGACTGCCTGTTTAAAGTGTGTTTTGTGCTGAGTTATCTGTGGGGTGGTGGTTGATTATGACCCAGAGCAGTGAAGACCGCAAGGAAGCTGTCACGCCGATGCTGCCTTATCTTCACACCATAGTCAACTGTTTGTGATGGTATGTTGTTGAAATAAGGCTTTGACCCTAAATGTTTGTTAAGAGCACTAAGGTTTTACGCCAGATCCTCCTCTCCGTCTTATTGTTCTTCGTTCCGTAGGTCACCGTGGCTGTACAGAAGCGAAGCATCGCTTCAGCTGGATCATGGACTGCAGTTAATGAAGAAATGAGCGTGTATCTAAACTAAGAAAAAGAACGTGGGCAGCAAAAATATTCCGTCAAGAGCTACGCGACGTAAAGTCACGGGAACACAAGCCGCATTCTTAGATGTGATGGCACGTAGGAAAGTTCGTACGGAAGCAGCGAAGTCTAGAACTAGACGTTAATATACTAAGACGACGCCGCATGTCGGTAAGCTACCTCAGGTTTTAGATGCCACAATGGGATAATAAATATGTAGAAAATCTCTTCATGCAGTGTGCCGGGGAAGGCACGCTAGCATGCGACATGGGTAAAGTCCAGGATGTTGATCCATTGAGTAATTAATTTTGCGTCACATCTACAGGTGTGGTCGTTCGATTCCTCAGAACACCTATGAAAAGCGACCACATAAACATATTTATAGGAAGAGTTTAGAGTTAGAGAGGCGGCATCGACGAAGTGCATATGACAAAAAGTGACCCTCACGTAACGCATGAGGTAAGCCGAAATTGTAACGGTTGATATCTTAGAGATGAACCTGATGCTGCCACTGTCAAAAAATCTAATAAAAGCGCTAGTGGCAACTGACAATCATTATCAAACCGCCACCTCATCTACTGCGAAGTGTGAAGACCAACGGCGAATATTTGAAGGTCGACATGAGGTACCACATTCCAGACGTTAAGTTGGTGAGTGGAGACTGAAGCTTGTAATCTGTTTCAGGCACTTGAGCCAGTAATCATTATAGTTTCGCCAAAACAAACGGTGGTAAGCGTTAGTTTTCACTTGGCGAACTCACCATGATATGTGTGAATGGTTCCAGCTAGTGCCAGTTCGACTAGAGAATGGAGCAGAGTCGAATGCTGTCATAGTGCGGTTGGAGATTGCCTGCACAGCGCGGGATGTGTTGACGGTGACCAATGCAGTTGGACAAAACTGCGTACCAACCAACTCATTGATCAGCAGGGCACTGATTGCGAACCGCATAATGGACAAGTATCGTAGCCAATTGAGCCAAGACCAAAGAGAAGTCACATTGATCAGGAAGCCACTTGTGATCTGAAGAGCGATCATCGCGAGTTAGAGATGAGAGTGCTTTCAGAAGACATTCACAATGCGAATTTACGTTGCAGAAAAGACGAGGAGCAGCACGCGATAGATCACGTAGCTGGCGCATGTCAGAGATGCCCTCATGCACAGCAAAATACGTAGCAGATAGTGGGGGACTTGTTGTCTAACGGTGTGCGATTGCTTTAACTAAACGATGGGCAATAAAATCAGTGAAATTTGTCCACAAAATGACCAAAGGAAAATGAGTAATCGAAAAGCGACAGTAAACCTCATGCTGCTGTAGAGCGGTAGGTTAATAGTAGAACACCTTCGGGTAAAAATAAGACGGAGGCGCTTGGAAAAATACGATGAAGGTGAACGAAATTTGCAAAACTTCTGTAGCAAGGGCACGTTGACTGAACTGGAATGAGTCTGGGCTACGCTCACACACAAGAGTCGCTTCTGTATTTCAAGCAGTTGTATGAACAGACACTTTCGTGGTTTATACAACAGTATTCAATCGTTAGAGGGAGTTGTGATGTGCTTGTGAATCACACTAAATAACATCATATGCATGCCAAATGAATGTGAATACAGTCCAATTTTACGGATGTTCTCGGTTAGCTGATGACGCGTATTGCAGATAGCAAGAAGTACAACGGGGGATTTCGTTCCATGTGTGTCCAGAGTCAATCCCAACAGCCTCGACAACAGAGGCTGAGTAAATTTCACATCACGTTACGTGCAAACGAGATGCGCTGTATGGGGCCTGTTTCAATGTGTGCACACAGTTCACTCCTTCGTGCGGTGGGATACACAATGTGCCGTGAAATATTTGACAACAAACATTGAAAAAATTACAAGCCGAAATTGAGGACTCATTTGATTGCTAAATCAAAATTCTGTGCATTTTCCAGTTCCTGTATTCAGAACCTAGCCGTATCTTCACACCACCAAACGGAATGATCCGAGTTCTGCTCCGTCGGCGTGTGGATTTCGAGGAATCGATCATCCTAGCCGGTTCTAGGACTGGTTCCACAAACATTCCCAATTTCCCAGTGGCGGTTGGCCATATCATTGCTGATTCCTCCACGTATACTGTCGAAAGGATTACGTGCATTGGAGAATAGTTGCACAAGCTACGCCACCACTCTTCGTAAGTAATGCAGGTTAAGCAAGCTCACTAATAGTAGTGGCAGACAGATTGGAGCCGAAGAAAACGGTGATAAACTCACCATCATGAGAACAAAAAACATAGACAAGAGAGTGGCACCAACACGAAAGTCGGTCACCATTGTGCTGACAGAGAATGCCGCGCCGGAGGCCGTGATGGTCAGTAAACTCAACGTCAGCTCCCAAAACAGGAACGCGCGTGTGGTGAACCGTAGTCCTGCCATTAAATATGTGATGGGCAAAAAGAGTAGAGCGGGGATCGCCTTTACTGGTAGCACTTCGGAAATAATCTTGGCGAATAAATAAGCAGATATTCGATACGCACCGGATGAGATTTCGTGCCTGGAAAGCGGAAACAGGAAAAAATTAAGTAATAATGAGCAGTTGACAAGAACAGGAACGGGAGTGCGAGGACAAATAGTGTAACGCCGGTCACACAGTATAAACGTTATGAAAAGTGGGAATCGAGACAAAATTCACTTCATTTGATCTGATAGACTATGATCAATACAACAAGGTGCGTTGACTCATATCACGGAATCAATATTAATGATGACTCGAGAGAAATGAGCAAAAAGCTGGTAAAATTGCATGGCTTAGCAAAGTGAAAGTGAGAACGAATGTAACAGTGTCAATGCCTTCATGGTTCATTCAGAGCAGACGGCGACGAAAGTGTTAGAACGTTTGCGGAGACATCGTAAAAACCTTCCATCTGAACTTCGATTAAAACCTGCTGAAGCCATGAAAAGACCAGACATGAGCCTACCTAAAAAAGCAAACCTACCAGCAATACCGCAGGAGTATCACTTTACCGTTCGGTCACGCGATTCTGCAATATGTCCGGACGAGGAGTGTGATGTACTTTGAACCAATCAGATTGCGAACGACGGATCATCATCATCCCAACAAAAACGGAAAATCGGCCGACCTTAAATTGGTCAAAATTCGATCAAAATTGACTTCTTTGGCTCCCTGTGGGCTCCTAGAGACCGGGAAATTATCCTGCCATTATACCAATGATCAAGACCTTTTCAATGTATGTATGTATGCTTCAAATGCTGCCTGGCTTGAGGTAGGCAGTAGAAAACCACCACCCGGAGGTGCCCTCTCACCGTCAGAGACAATGCGTGGCGCTCGTGCTCTACGCCAACCGAGCTGTGAGCTTATAACCCGTAGACCTGTTGTCTCCCATGGCTAGATTTTACGGGAAGGGCATCGACCACTTCCTAACCTCCGAAGAGGAAAGACTGGGATACTGACAGGGTGCCCACACCTGACAGGAGAACGACTCGGGTCAGGGTATGCGGGAGTTCTTCGAGCTGGCTGATTTGGCTGCAAACGTTTCATCGTCAGGCTAGACGACATCATCAGTGCGATTTATGCGGGCCACTTATAAATCAGCCAGCTCAGAGAACACCCGCATACCCTCATCCGCATCCCGAGCTACAAATATTTTCACGGATTTCTAACGACTCGGTTCCTCAGCCAAAGCCTTCGATTAAATGTATACCTGAAAAGCAGCCGGTCTAGCACATGGACAGTTTACTGACTCATGTGAATTGGTGTCCTGGATCTTAGCAGGGAGAAAGGGGTAACCCAACTCCCACCCAGCGGTCGCCACGAGGGTGCGTCCAGGACATGAGCCCATGGTACAACAGTAGCAGCAGTGGGTAGGATCTAGCGACTAACAGCCTCAGCCCAATAGAGGTTCTCCCGCCTATGGTCAAAGTGGTGCAAACCCGCCAAAACCCACCTGCGTCCGACCGTGGTCGCAGATGCTTATCCTACTACGGTCGCAAAACATATTAATCGTTCCCTTGATAGCGGGAGTCAAATATCTCTTTCTGTGTTGTGCAATCTGTTCATATTTATTTAGGGGAACCACTACTAAATCCACACTCAACCAAGTTTGTGGGTGGAAAAGCAAAGAAATATATTTCAGCTATTTCCCAATCCGTGGTATCTGAAAATACTTTTTATATAGCGTGGATTTGGATCTTTCTAGTGTATCATTTTGAATCTCGGTGAGACTTTCTAGACTATAACTCCAGCATTGCAGGGTTGTATATCAAATGGACCTAAAATCCAAATCAGGTTTTCCATGTCAATCAGGTAATGAAACTTACCTTTCATTTCTTTTCGGAATTGTTGTAAATAACCGACATAAACAGTTAAGTCTTCATTCTTCAGCTGCTCCATGACTGTCACAAGAATTAGGAACTGAAAATTCCCGACGTCGATATTTTGAGTATGCACTTCCAGCTTTCTAATAAAAAGTTATAATGGTTTCTGTACTCGAGATGAGATTATACAACCTGCCTTGGTGTTTTATCTAATAAGTTGAGTTTTTTAAAAACATCAGCCAGATAAACCACGGTTGGCTTAGCTGTTAATAGTTTTCTTTAGTACTCAGTTCCGGAAAGGAATGTGATGATGATGGCCCAATAGTGCCACAAAGCGGCGAAGACAGTTGCCCTCAGAGAATCATCTAACTTATGTATGCGACGGTAAAACCTGAAAATCTTCAATATTCTCCTAACACAACTGCTGAAAAAGACGATCTGGAAGAGGATGCGATTGGATATTGCTGACTACTGATATTACAGTTGACAGTGCGTCGTTTAAGCGCCTTCCCAATTTCTTAGCCACTTATTGCTCTCGGTGAACCACAGTGAATGGTATAAACAGAAGAAAGAATATTTTTTCAGATTGACAATAATTCCTTTAAATCTTCCTACCATTGCGGCAGTGCCATCTGTTGCACTTGCACATGTTCGGTATTGAAATGGAGTTTTCAGTCACATAGCTATTAACTACCTCAAATATAAACTGGCCCTTTGTATTATTTTTGATTCTCCTGGCAAACAATATCTCTTCTACTAATTCATTATCCTTAAAGAGTCGGACAGGTGCCACGAGAAGTGCGTCGTTATCAGGTAAAGTAGATTTGTCTGACTATAACGAAAACCTTCTGGGCTGTAGTAAAGTAACTAAGGTACTTTCTATGTCGTGAGCCATCTCATCTATTCGCCTATGTACAGGGGAATTGCTGAGCGGAATGACTTGTGCTGCTTCTTATGGATTTATATTCATCAGATCAAACAGTATTATTGATATTGGAGGCAAGATAATATTTTCTTCAACATTATGCGCAGTTCTTGGTAATCAACTTGCTGATTTTGTAGGACACCGTAAGTCCATTCGCCATTTTTTGCCTTGTCAGCAACCATTTTCTTTGAAGTTGGTCTATTATTGGAACTATCTCGCAGCTTTTTGAAAAACTCCACAAAGTTTCCACTTTCGTCCTTATGAACAGTTTTCGAATGATTTTTCAGTTTACTTGGTCACATACTTTCATTTGAAAGAGTGGGGTAGAGTGGGGTTTTGAGGTGATTTGGTAAGTCCAAATGACAAGTATTCCACCGAAACTTATTCGTTGCCGAGGAGTTCATTTCTGAAATATGTCCTTGTAAATCGTTAATATGTAATTTACGTATACTGTTTTTGTCTTAATATTCTTACACAGTTATATCATTCGACAAGGTAAAACACACTAGTAGTACGAATGATTGGTGGCACTAAATTTATTCTTGCTTAACTGTGAGATTATAAGATACGACATGTGGTAAGCATACTTATGATATCTGTTAGTGGCTATAATGTTGAAATGTAAACGTGTAGAAACACTGTTAGTGATAACCCGAAGGTTGTTTCGGAAAATGACTGAAAATACCGTGGATAGCTAGAATGACTGAGGAAAACTTCTTGACAAAGACCAATGAAGAAAACACATGGAACTCAGAAAATCACAATGCTCGGTGGCCACCTATTGGCTGCAGGAAAGTTACACCAAAAAGTGACCACAGGTAAATTGAAGAACAGAAGCGACAAACACGCATGGAAATGCGGGATGGTACAAGAACCCGCACGGGAGATCCAACTACGAAACCAATAACGTACATCGGCTATTGCCAAACACGGCATTCAATGCGTACCGGCAAGGCATTTGGTTATTATGAGTATCTTTATGTACACCTTACGTAGTAACTCACACGCGCGCAGAGTAGCCACACGAATTCAGAATGTTGCGGGCATACGTGACTTAGCCCCCAGACGTACATGCGAGCTAAGACTGGAGAGGAAAAAACGCAACATAGCGCTACCGCACTGACTGACCTGCACATATGTTGTCACACAGTGGTAGTGTCCTGACGAAACTCAGTTAGTATCGGTGTGCCTATGTGCGGTAACTGCCGCATTGTAGATGTATCATTGTCCCGAGTAGAACTCAGTTGGTTCTGCGGGGATAGTCCTGAGGACGAATCGGTTGTTAGTTGCGCAATCTGAGTCCCTGTACGGTGATTGTATGTTTGAGATGAGCCAGATGAAATGTGCGCAACTTCGGCGGAGCTATGCCAGCTCCGCAACAGCAAGTCTTCCCAGTCTGGATTTCACACCTTCAAAACAGCCACTAGCGCGCGCGTAATTCATTTCACTGACTAGTAGTTTTCGGGAAAGGCTAGTGCGCTGATAGAAACGATCAGCAAAAATGTTAGGTGAATTTTGTTACTATCCGCCTATGCCCCCCAATTAATTTTCCCATCCCTGACTCCCGGAATTCTCTGTGGCCCCCAGAGGGGCCATATGGCTCCCGCTGAGAATGGCTGGTCTAGACGATCGAAATCTTTCGAAAAATCCAGGTAGATCACATCAACGCCTTCTCCAGCGTCAGCTGACTCGATCCAACTACTACGTGCGACTAATAAATTCGTTGTGCATGACCGCTGTCGACTGACCCCGTGCTGCTCAGGCGTGATGATGTTACAGTTTTCCAGATAGCACACCAGTGCATCGGCAACTACGGATTCCATGAGTTTGGAGAGTATAGGGAAGAGAGATACTGGGCGTTAGTTGGAGGGCTCATTTCTGCTTCCGTCTTTGTGAACCGGGGTTATTACGCCAAACATTCACATGGCGGGAACTTGGTTCTGGTCTAAGCAGCGCTGGAAATCTGAACTAAAGGTCCTTCCGGTTGGGTTACTGCTGCTTCCAGTGCCTCTTGACGAATGGTATGGACACCCGGCGAACTGTGTTTGCGTAAAGACGTCACCTTTTGCATACAGCCTCTGCGGTAAAAGTGATGTGGGTTAATGGTGTCGGAGAGACGACAAAGGTTGGAAGATCATTTGGTAGCAATACCCTCTGAAACCTGGGGGCATATTGCATCCGCAGCGCATTTGTTGCTTCCACAGCCGTTCTTGTTGGGTAATCGGCCGTCCTGAGTGGAGGAAATCCTTGCCTCATCTTTTGTAGGATATTGACATGCTTGTACGGCAGTTTGTGGT